ACTTGGTATATATCCTTTTTGCATGCGAAAATTTTGTTTGGTGTACGGTAGTTGTTTGGAATTCGAGTTCGATAAGTCACGACTGCAATCATTACTCTTGTTTGCTTCTCTCGAGATAAAGCTGCGACTGCCTATGAGCATTAGTACGTCTGTTGCTACTATTCAATAAATAACACACAAAAACTTTTTGAGTTTTCAAATGTTTTTGTGTTTTTTCGCATACATGTTTTGTAAATTCATTAAAATTGAGTTTTAGGGAAGTTAATGAAAAAATTCAAGAAACGAAATGTATTGTTAGGTTCACCGTGGAGTTGGAGGGGGGGGAAGAAAGAGAGAGAGAGAGATTGTTAAGACATGTGAAGATGGCATGCGTATCCGGTATTTAGCAGTAGCATACTGTATGCCGAGTACGATGGTATCTACGGTTGTCAAAAACAGAGACACTATTAAATTGGCACGTTGCGAAGGAGAGCCGTTGGATAAAAATGCTTATGATCTGGATAGGGGGAAAAAAAAAAAAAAATTCAAGAGTTTTTTCAAGAGTAACATTATTTTTCAGTTTGATTACAAGAATACTCATCAGATGGGGGAAAAAAATAAGAAATACAGGGCCAAAATATTTGGTGCCAACAATTTGAAAAGAGATTTTGCCTTTTACAGCGATTCAATGCAAAATCCCGTTTCGAGACTAATAAAGTAAAAATCTTAAAGCTTCCATATTACGCCCAAAGGGGCGTTTTTTTAACGTTTTGTGTGTTATCTTTATTTATTAAATATCATATTCTTCGCACTTAAATCACATAAAATTCAATTCAAGAGCGATATCACAAAATATTTAAAAGCAGCACATCTTTAGAATTTCTGATAGACAGTTTCGCGCGCTGAAGATAAAATGTTTTTTTCCGTACAGTGTTGCCATTGCTCGCTTTGAAATCGTTGAGTTTGTGATTCAAAAATTAGTTAAAGGTTTATAAAATATGAAATGTAAAATTCGAAATTCAAAATTCGGGCTTCCAGGCACATGTTCGAGTGGAGGATTACGTAATTAAGAAGTTGATGTCTCTAGGAACGTTGTTTTTTCACAATGCGAAAAACATACATGCAGGTTCTTCATTATTTAATTTCTTTAAATATAACACAGAGTGATAATATTTGGGGGAACATTTTGAAAAGTGATTCAGACTTTTAGATTCGTTCAAAATGCCGTTTTGAGACTAATAGCTGTTCTGAACTTAACGCTCCTGATGAAAGGCATATATCATCAGAATCCGGGCTTTGGTAATAACAAGAAGATTTTTTATAAGAACGGATTAATTATTTTCCTTTTATTTCTTGGAAAAATTCGCTTGACCCAAGGATATCAAAGGATAAATGACGTATACCGAAGTTTCACTGTATATGACTGAAGTCATGAATGTTCTTATCAAATTAGTTTTTCGTGTCCTGCCTAGTACGTATCTTCGCACTTTTGCAAGCCTGATTTATCTAAAGTGATAGCCATCTCATTACATTCCTTCTTTCATTTTAATGTGTGACAGGAATGTTTAGAATTCTAGAGATGCATTTCATCCTTAGAGCAACTAATCCCTTTCATTGGATGACTTCGATGGACAAGCGGGAGGAACTTGTTGAAGTTAATTAATGTTGACTCTGATGAGAGATTTAAAACTGAAAACGCTTAATCTGTAGTCGGGAGAAAAAAAAAAAAAAAAAAAAAAAAAAATCTGGTCTATTCATCAAAACCCACGCATGGCAGTCTTAAGATTAAAAGAAAATACGAGCAAATGATTGCATTCCTTTTCCTAGAAGTATTAATGAAGATCAGAGTGAAAAAAAGTATTTACGACTGTTTTATTTTCGCAACTAGTTTTTCAGGCATTGTTCTACAAGCTTGGTTACGTAAAACATTTAATTTCGAAAGCTTTTCTTCTTGCTATTTCTTTAAGCCAATAATATAAGATTTCCGAATACTTTTGAATTCTATTTATATCCATTCTGAAATACCATTTGGTTCGAAGATGCGTTGGAATTCTCGAAAAACTCAGTTAAATATGTTGGTTATTTGATTAGGAAGAAGCATCCATTAAAGTAGTCTTTCTCAGTCTGTTTTGCCTCCATGCATCCCTTTCACCATTGATCAACCAAAGATCACTTCTTCTCAACCCCTCCCGCTTTCTTTTTAAAACTCAAATAATTTATATGCATTTATTTAGATTTAGATTGTTTTTGTAACATATTTTTTAAATTAAACAAGGAAAACTACAGATAATATTAGTAAAGAATACCAAAACTTGAATACCATTGATCAACCAAAGTTGATTTTGTAACATGTTTTATAAATTAAGCAACGAAAACTATAGATAATATTAATAAAGAATACCAAAGCTTGAATACCATTGATCAACCAAAGATCAGTTCTTCTCAGCACTCCTTCCCCACTTTCTTTCTAAAATTCAAGTAATACATATGCATTTATTAAGATCTAGATTATTTTTTGTAATATGTTTTATAAATTAAACAACAAAAAATACAGAAAATAAAGCCAAAGCCATACCAAAACCATATAATACCAAAACTTGAATATATATATGTAACTATTTTCAATTCTTTTTCTATTATTATTTCTATTACTATAACTATTATATTATATATATAACTGATTTTCATTATCAGAGGTATCCAAACTTCATGTCAGTAACAGTCGTATGTTGAAATTCGAGACTCGCAACCAAATTTTCAAAATGCCACACATCCATATTTACATCATTTTTAATTTCGTGAAATGTGAATTTTACCATTTAGTGAAATGGGTTGTAGAGACATTAGGTATTTTTGGAGCAGAAGAGATGAAAAATTAGCATCTGCCTTCGCCGGGAATCGAACCAATCGAACCTCTGGAATATCGGCCCAGCTTGCAGAACCACTACACCACAAAGGCACGCTATTAAAGTGGGAGAAATATCTTATGTACTCCCCTTTTTAAAGGGCGACTAGAATTTTAGGGGACCCAATCACCAAATCCTGGGTGTGGAGAGTCATCATCCACAACCCTTTTAGTTCGGGCGCCACTGTAGAGACATTAGGAATTTTTGGAGCAAGAGAGATTAAAAATTAGTAACTGCCTTCGCCGGGAATCGAACCACGCACCTCTGGAATACCGGCCCAGCCTGCAGAACCATTACACCACGAAGGCACGCTAGGAAAGTGGGAGAAATACCTTAGAGGGTTTAAAATGGAAAGAAACACCTGATAACTTTTAAAAAATGAAATAAATTAATTACTTTCTTTTGGAGTAGTTTTAGTTTACCATATTTCATACCTATATTTTATTTTCATTAGAGCTATGCAGTCCACAGCCACTCGCCTGTGAGAGCCGCCCCTGATATATATGTAAGATAAAATTTTGTAAAGCAAACTTCTAATTCTTCTAATTGGTTATAGTCCTTTTTATTCTTCATTTTAACTTGGGTAACTCCCCTTTCTGTTTTAAAAATAGTAACTACTTAGAATATATCAGTCTAAAAATAAATCCTCCTTATACTAGCTTACACAACGCTGCAATACAGACGCTTTTTATCCAATCACTGAATAAGATTTTTATTAAAAGCAAAAGTGTTTTGACGCTCTTCACCATGCTGTTTAGAATGCGTCACTGGTATTTTTTGATTGTTTATGGACACTGGAAATGTCTTCAGCCGAATCTTTTCATTTTTCGCATCACGTCTCGTTCTGGAATCAGATCGCTTTCCCACTCATTCCATACCAACTCTTGGAACTGCCAACTATGAGAGCTGCGGCCATTATCTTTAAAGCATTCGGCGATTTAAGAACAAACTCATCAGTGGTCTTCAACTGGCGGCCCGCGGACGTATGCAGTACACGAAACAATTTTACGTGGCTCGTGAATAACATGTCTTAAATTAATTAGCATTGTTATGAATTTAACTATTATGAAAGCAACCTGAAGAAAGATGCATGATTTTAATTATTGGGGCTCCAATTTGATATTATTTTCATAACCATTGAAAACAAACTTGATTAACGTCCCAGAAAATCTGCAAATGGATTTATACTGTGATATAAATCTTATTCAAAGATTTGATTAACCTTTTCTCATATTTGTCAAAAGATAAATAACCTCAATTACGAATTTTGAAACAAGAATAATTTTTTTGTTTGGGAGTATATTTATATATGCGATTTGCTCCCCGAATTTAAAATTTAGTAAGTACAGAAAAAGAGAACCAGACTGACCTAGGGAGCTCAGTGAAGATAATTTCTACTTATTTTTTGTGCAAGATTACAGACTTTATCAAAATTGAATCGAAATGCGATGAAGTGTTATAGTAGCAGAGATGTTTAGAATTATTTACATATAAATATATGTATTTTTTCCTATATGCGTCATATAACTATTTAATAAATAAAAGGAAGAAAATAGGTTACCATTATTTATTCTCATATTTTCCCCCTCTTGAAAAGTTATCTTTTTTTTTTAATTTTTATTTTAAGTAAATTATCCAGTGATTCACTCAACACATTAGAATTATTTGAAATAAATATCAGTCTGAAAATTTAATATTTAGCTATCAATACGACTGACTGAATTACAAAGAGTAACGATCAGAAATTTATGGCTAGAAGTTGCGAGAAGTGTTTGATACCTTGGTAATGGTGCTGCCATCTAGTGGCACTAGTGTATTGTTTACTGAGAAGTATGGATATTTTTGCAATAAGTTTTTGCAATTTCATCAATTTACATGCAAGTGATTAATATTTTCAACGAATTTTTTATTTTGTTCTGTTTATTTATTTGTTGTTTTTTATGTAAAACATTGAATCTAATATGTACTGTAATTTAATTTACATGAAGGTTCATATTTAATGTTTATATATTTTTTTCATTTTTAAATCTGAAAGAGCCATTGGCTCATCTTCAGGATGCTTTTGAAATTTTAACTTTACTAAGCATAAATTGTAGCACTGAATTTCTTTTCCAGGTATTCAATGGGCTTGATATCCAAAAATGAAAATTTAGAACTTTGCAATAAAGTTACAGCTTCTTCATTTTGCAGGTATGTAAATATTTTGTATGCATTTTTAAAGCTTGCAGTTTTATTTTTGGGCATTTATATATATCAGAGATGGCCAAACTTTGATTAAGAACCGCATGTTGGAATTCAGAAGAGTTAGAGAGCCATAACTAGAATTTCCAAAACCCACAAGTCCGTATTTATTATAAATCACAACTAATTCACTAATGGTGCTTTGCAAAGAGCAATGCTGCAGCTGTAATTATTACCAGGTTTAACTGTTCACTGTAGCCAATAATACTTACTGAAAATGTAATAGCTGTAACTGGTGGATAATTAAAAGAAAGAAAAGAAGAAAAAATTTGTTTTTCCATTGCATTTGTCCGAGTTTAAAGTTTTGACCTCTGAGAGAGAGGTGACAAACGGTTAACCCCTGTAATGCACATATCATGGATGGTGCCAATATTTTTAAGTACTGAAAGAACTTTTTCTAGTTTAAAATCTCTTAATATGAAGTTCAAAAAATTAAATTTTTTTTGTAGGGGATGTTTAATGGTGAATGAATATGAAAATTGTATGTTAATTAATTGATAAAACTCATATTTTTTTTTGGGGGGGGGTGCATGTATAATATGCTTTTAAGGTTCAGTGAAATATATACAGTATTTCCTTCATGTATTTTACCCCGTTTTTTAACGAATTTTATTGTCCGAAAACCGAAAAGGGAAAATTATGTGAGTAATTTAATTTCTGAAGAACATGGTTACGATAAGACTATGACAAATGAAAAGTAGTCAGTGATAAACTACAGGACTATCACAATATTATTTCTTTAAAAGAAACGTACATTCCAATATGCATACATAGTAATATTAACATTGCAGTATGTGACGGATATTGAGCCAATATCTGATGGTTCCCAAAAGAGACGTCGGAGGAGCGAGAGAGAAAGGGGACGAACAACCATTTCGAAAGATCGAACATCTGCAGTAGATAAGACTACAATCAGCTGGAATGTAAATAATTGAAGTAAAGAGAAATCATACATTTGGAAAGTTTTAAGTATGATAACAACTGCTCTGTAGCTTAATTAAGAATCTGCACAAAATAGCTTTCAGACAATAAATGGAAGGGTAAATAGATTGGATAAATGCTAATATTATACTGATATGCTAAAAATCCAAATACTAATTGATTGAAGTGAATAAAAATGAAAATAATCTATGAAATACAATTTACCAATAAACTAGCCCTTAACGGGAAAAAGCTATATACTATATAGAATGAGGAAAATTGCATAAACATTTAAAAAATTTTAGTGTTAAAAAGCTAGGGCAGGAAAATATAAGAGGAAATACTGTAATTAATAAAAGCAATCAATTCCAAGTACTAACTGTAATCTGTGTCTTTTGAAACACTCAATGACACTTCAATGAAGCTGTTTGAATTTATAACCAGGTAGGAATTTGCCAGCTGATACAACCTCTTAGAGTCTTAAATTCTGCTGCATGGTACATCCCTAAATTCTAAAAAAATTAGTGCCCAATGCACCTTCCTAAAATTAAAAGAAAAATTGTCATCCTTAAATTTTGCAGCTTGGTGCTTTGCAAATTCTAAAAAATTTGTTGCACCATTTACACCAACTCTGAGACGCTAGCCCTGTAAATGTCTGGAGATGTTTTGCTTTAGTATGCTTTAAAGCATTTTAATTATTATATGAAATAATCTTAACATGGCAAAAATTGTTGGATTATTTTTTTAAGATATTATTATTCTTTTGTATTCTTATTTATTTTAATAGGAGACGTCTGCCAGTTTTAATGGTTAGAAGTCGGATGGCCCCTTCTTTGAAAATTTCTACTCAGTTTGTTGAACAAGGACGTATCCTTTTGCATTCTAAGATGCCAATGCATGATTTATACATATACTGGGTTATTTTTCTGAAAATGATAATTTTATAGCAATTTTAATCAATGTTGTTATTTAAAATTGAGAACTATTAAGTGCATCATTTAAAATTGAGAACTATTAAGTGCATCTTATGAAGGTGATGTGATTAGTTAAAATGTAAAGTTAAAAACTGCAGAATTTCATGTTGATAAATTCAGTATTTAATATTATAAACTTTCAAGTCATAAATTTATTTTAAAGCTTCAAGTGAAATGTTTTCAAGAGTATCATTTTTGTTTCTTTTATTATTTTATGGGAGTAAAATTTCTCTTTAGTCAGCATTTATATACTCTGTCTTAAAATATGCTTCATTTTTTCTTCATATATCTATCTATCACTCTATCTAAACTTTTTTCCTAAATTTTCGTGTCACTATTACCTGGAAAACTTGAATATTACCTAGCTATGCAAAATTAAAACAAAAATGTTTTTATATATTAAAATATATATATATATATATATCTTCCATTCACTCACCATACTCAAATTTTGACCACCTATGTGGTAAAATAGGTGATGGAACTGCACTTCACTGAAGAGGAGACATATACTCCACTGCAATGGTCTCCAAATGTACAATTTGATCTGGTAGATAAGACCATTTATTCAAACCAGTTCTAGCACTCTAAATACTGAGGTTAGTTACGGTTCCATCACTCCGTATCACTTCAGGTTCTTCAAGGAAAATCTCATCAAAGTCAAATGGCAAATTAAAGTAGAAGCTGTATCTTTAGCAAGTCTTCTAAGAGGGAGAAACATGGTCGATGTATTCTGATACTGGTTCTTATATGCGAAAATAATGGTCCTCTTTTCTAGCTCTTCAAAAATGCTTAGAATTAAAACAGTTTTGTTTCAAATAAAAATCATGTCATCTGTTCTTCCATCATGTTGTATTTCTTAATTCTTCAATCATTTATATTATTATGAGTATTTCCTGTTCTTATTTTGTCTCTGTCAATTATGTGAGAATTGTCTGAATCAGCTATCACATGCATGCTTGCATAATATTTACAATATAAACAATATTTACAATTACAGAATATAATTACATAATATTTGATAATTATAGTCACTATTTAAAAAAGTGTATAGGAAAAATTCTGAAATATTGTTATTTTTACAAAACTATGTCTTTTGAGCTTTCTGTGCAAGCAATAAATAATTTGAAATTTCCGATTTTAAACCTTTTCCGTGTTCTTCGGCCTCCAAAATTCGCATTAAGACTTGTAGCATTTCAATAGTAGGGAATTTAGTAACTGTAAAAAATTGATGAAAAACACAAAAATTCCACCATTTTTCAGTGCTATCTTAAGTGTAATACATGAATGAAAGCTAAAATTTTATTTGAGGTAGGGGAAAATCAGCTTGGCGATAAGCAACGTTCAAGGGGTATAGTGATACAAAAAGAGAAAAGAATGCTTTAGGGCCCATCCTTGTAGCTATACATTACTTTTTTGTTTTGTTTATAACACTTTTCATTTTTCCCCCCTGTAACTTACATTGCTGGCCATCCAAATTGCAACACCAAGAAAGACAAGAAATATCACAACAAAATTTATTTAGTAGATAACATGTTGACTAAGTATCAAATGATTAAATTTATAGACTTCTGTGAAGTGTGGTTCCTTCCGGAATCAGTAACCAGAGTAGCCACCGTTGTTGGAGATTACCACTGCCACATGCCTCAGCATTGATTCAAAGAGACTTTGGATGTGTTCTTGGGGTACAGCAGACCAAGCAGCTTCCACAGGTTGCCGAAATTGATCTGGTGTGGCAGCTTGGGATGTAATCTGGGTCAAACGTTCAACAACCATGGACCACATGTTTTCTATTGGCGAAAGATCCGGAGAGCGAGCCGGCCAGGGAAGCAATTCAATCTGGCGATTGACGAAGAGCCCTTGGACAATGCGTGCCACATGTGCTGTTGAAATATGGCTGTGGGCAAGTCCTGAAGGTAAGGAAGGACAACTGGCTCCAACACATCAGAGATGTAGCGCTGGCTGTTTAAAGTACCGGCAATGCGTATTAGAGGAGTGCGAGAGTGATATCTAATATCTCCCCATACCATAATATCCGGTGCAGGATCAAGTGTGGTGGTGCATAATGCAGCTGTCCTCTCTGCACGGTGTTTCCAGATTTGAATCTGATTAGAGTGGTGTTGCAGGAAGCGGGACTCGTCAGTAAAGACAATTTTATTCCATTCTACTGTCCATATTCTTCTTTCATCGCACCGTTGGTGGCAGACACGTCTGTGGTTCTGTGTCAAGGGTAGATGAAGCAATGGACGTCTTGTGGACAGACCACTCTGCTATAAATAGCATCGAATGGTACGCGCAGACACCGGATGATGCATTACAGATTGAATGTATTGTGCTATGGTTCGTGATGTGCTGAACGATCCGTCACTGCCATGCGCACAATGTTCCTGTTATCACGTGAAGTGGTGCACTGAGGTGGATGCGATCGAACACGTCGGTCAATCGTCCCCTCCTGCATCCAACAGTCACATATCCGCATTACAGTTGTTTGGTTTCGTCCAACACGATTACCGGTTTCCCTGAAAGATAATCCACACTCTGGGTAGGCCATTATCCTTCCTCTGTCGAACTCGGGTACTTGATCAAACGATGATCGCTGTTTACTATGAGGCATAATTGATCACTTTTTTGAAAAAAACCACAAGAAAACACAGTTGCTGAACTTGAAATCATCGAAAACTCCAAGCCTTAAATAGCTTTCTGAAGTGGTGCCACAGGCACGCGTAATGTGCGTCTGTGCTGAAAATCTAATCATTTGCATATCTCACCTCCACTAATGCATGTTGTAAATTTCATGTTATTTGCATGCTTCCTTCAGGGTGTTTTATTTACAGTGGCCAGCAGTGTATTTTTATGGTTTACAGCAAGATTTTCTTGCTTCGATTTCATTAAAAAAATAGTTATCTTCATCAACTCTCTTCTTCATAGTTTAACTTTTCTATGATGTATAGCATACAGCATAATCATAATACCAATAATTGCATGTAAATAACTTTGATAGATAACAAACAATTAGACTAGGAATATGAGCATATGTTTAGAAAAAAATGGTTTATTACATTTAAATTTTATTATTTTTTGCATGATTATTATTTAATTTAGCAAACATAAACAAGTTATCAGACACAAAATCAGATTCTAAATGTCTAAAATTTTAATATTAATTAATGTGATAGATGTGCTTGATGTTTTGATGAAATTAATATTTGGCATTTGGCATAAAATTTGCTTAACTTAATTCTGAAATCACCTCATTCAGAAATGTTCAACCTGTTTTGTGTTGTTTATTGACTTAACTTACTGTACTTAGCTTACTGGTACCTGCTTTCACTGGGTAAGAGAGGGAAAAGTTAATAATGTTAATCTAGTAGCAAATTTAATTTTGGGCTCTTTCTCTCAGATGACTTTTAAATTCCAAAGCTTAGCATATGCATGTGTTTTGAATAAAACTTGACTTATTTGGATGTTAAACTTGTCTTATTTGTATGTTTTATGTATTATTAATAATAATTAATTATGAATTTTATTAATACATTTTTTATAGTCAGTAGGATCTTGCTTGCGCCTATTTGGCTGTTGTCCCTTGGTCTTTATCAACCCCCTTTAAAATATCATCGACATTCTAGAAGGTCCATAACCGACCGCATTGGGAACCTCTTATTTACAGTTACTTCTTTCTTGCTGTGAAACTGTTTATAGTTCTGTAGAAGCTAAATCATTGCATTAAGGCATTTTTATACAGTGCTTTTGATCTCTAATTTTTATGCATATATAAAAAATGTTTTACATTTTATGCATAAATAAAAAAATGTTTTCCATAAAATCTGAGTTCACAATTTTCTCTCTGCTTGGGGAAAACGGTCTTGTCAATTAAATCCAGATTAGGTAACTGTCACAGTGCATATCAATTAAGATAATTATATTCCACTTTGGACCATTTTCTATATAACAGCTAAGCCTCTCATATTTATTGTTTTACATTTACTGACGTACATCTGTATGCTTAAAAAAATATTTTAAAGATTTTTCATATTTCTATGGTAAAATATGATTTTCTTGACTTGACTGCAGATGTCCGTGTTGGTCCACATGTTGTAATGGATCCAGCATTTCTAGTTACTAGAAATATGGAAGATTTTATAACATGGGTTGATGGATCTGCAATTAAGAGACATATTGCAAGATACAATGAAGAGGTAATCTTAATTGTTATATTATCCATTTATTTCATGTGTTATATTTACTTTTATCATTTCATTCTGATACTGTTATTATTTGTATATAAAGCCTGCAGAATATTTAATACTTTTTTGTTTCATGTTTCACAAATTTGAGGCTATTACCATTCTATCCTATAAAATATTTGCTGAATTTTTCTAATAAATTCAGTCATTAATCTTGTGAAAGGAGATATTTAATTCATGATATAAAACTAATGAATTCCATTACCATTATTATGCTCATTACATAAGAATAAATATTTATTGAAAAAAATTATTTATTTAGTAAAAATATTTAATAATTTTTTGTTCTTTTTCAGCTGGATGATTTTGATCTCATGTGAAAGAAAACATTTGTATACATTATTTGTAAATAAAATCTAAATAAAATCTTTTTAAAATATTTCTAGGTGTTTTTGATTATATTAACAATAAATTGTATTTGATTGTATTAACAATAAAGATTATACTGCTATCAGTCCTAGCGATGAGTTTGGTAGAACATTAAACGTGATATTGCTTATCTTGCTTCTGCTCCCCATGGACAGTGGATATTGATCTTGTAATCAGAGGTGCTGTACATAACAGAGAGCTAAATACTATATGATTTTTGTAGTGAAACTCATTCATAGTTGATAAGAATGTACAAATAAAATTGGATCTTCATGGTTATGTAAGAAAGAGAATTGTTAATAATGTTTTACTAATTAATAATGTCAATCCAGTGTTGGCTTTAACTGTAGAGAAGTTGGAAAACAAAACAGAAGTAAAGAGGACTGTGCTTATCGCATTATGTTTTTACTTTGATTGCACATCAGTATTAATTTTCAAAGCTATAAATCTGAAGTTACATGTCATTTTCCTGCTTAGTATTGTAAAAAACCCATTTTCTAGATATGAATGAATTCTGGATTTCCATCATAAATTATTATTGTGTTTATGGTTGTTTTACCCTAAGAAATATATGAATTAGGTATCAGTAAATTGTTCAGACTGCATTATTGTAGTTTGAAGATATCAATTACACTGTGATTATCATCCAGTCCTGCAAGGGGGTATACCCCAATGTAAAAAACCAGGGCTAGAAAGAAGGGATTTTAATGCTGGAATTTTTAACTTTTTTTTACAAGAGATTTATTTGAAGTGATTGGGCTATGAAAATAATTTAAGAATTACATAAATTTGCTAAATCACTAGAGAATTGCGTAATTTCTAACTTTGGTAATATTAAAGCCACAGTGATGTTTTCCGAAATACTAGATGTATTAGGAACCGCAGGAGTCCACTGAACATTTTCTTGTCTTAATTCTTGAAATTTGCTCTTTAATTTAATTTCAGCGGACAATAGTTTGTCGTCATTTTCTTTTGAACCTTTTATTGTTTATTAAATTTTTCCAAATCGTTTTTCAGTGCTTCTGTCTCTAAATCACAGCTTTTCAAAATCTGTTCTTTAGTTTCTAAAAAGTCTAATAACTGTGATAATGATTTTAGCCGTTGGAGGCTTCATCGAAATTTTGAACTTGTTGAACTAATTCAGTAACACTTGTTGGAATGTTAACTTTTCTTTCTGATTATTTTCAAAAGCTTATCCATATTAACTCAGAATTTAAAAGTTTAAAGAGACCTTACCTCCACAGTCCATAATACAGAAATTTTTATAGTATCCAAACTCCTCAGAATTACATATCTGATGGCCAACTATTTCCGATATTTTTCTTTTGAAGAATAGTAAGTGATGTATCAACCACTATTACATTAAGTGGCATCTACTGTATTCTCTGTTTCTGTAATTCTAACATTATATTAGTGTGAGTTTCAGTGCTTATCTATACACAGTGAGTTTATTTATTTATCCCCAGAATTTTCTGCTGCTTCTCTACAAGTTTTATATTCAAGGATGAAAATTTATACGAAAACTGTGTACTATGCATCTTGACAAGAGATTTGTTTGATGATCTTGTATGTGTATGTAGCCTGAAATGCTTTTGCTTCTTGAAAAGTTTTTAAGAGAGCAACAAGTTTAAAATGTAAAGTATGCAATATGTGCTTAAAATCGTTACATCTAATGTATTTTTATGTCTGTATTAGTATATTAATATATTAGAATATTTAAGTAATCTTTTTTTTTTTTTTTTTTTTTTTTTTTTTTTTTTTTTTTCCCTATGGAATGCAAGTTACTGGAAGAGGGTTAAAGAAACTTCTTCATAAATCTTTAGTTCTTGGTGAAATTTTGATACAGAAAATCTTGATAAAAGCAAAACTTCATATTTCCACTTCTGTTTTATGTCTCTTGACCTTCAGCTTTGGAATCAAACAAACAAGAAAAAAATTTTCAAAATATTCTGAAAGAGATCTGTAAAAATTATAAAAAGTTCTCTTAAAATACATCAAATTTAATAATTTTGGAAAATAGTATTGTTCAAGTATTATGAATTCTTTCATTTAGCATAATATTAATGTACTCCGAAAGTAAAATTAGGTAGTTCTAAAATCAATTTTGGCTTCAATATGCAATGAAAGTATTTTTATATATATATAAAACATGCATTAAAATTTTGCATTCTTTGCTTATTCCTGGTATGCTAAATGTTGGACTATGGAAATTCTGTCTATAAAATTTTTACAGATATATGTTTGTGTTAAAATATGCGGACAAAAATATGTAACATCATTGAATTTTCTTTATTTTATTGAAATTTTAAGGTTATTTTGGGCATAATGCAAAGTAAAAAAAAGGGGGGGGGGAGAAAGAGCGAGAAAAGAAAAGAAAGGAACTTGCTGAAAAATGTTATTAAAGTAAGTGTTTAGTGTCTGAGGCAAACTCTGGGGGGGGGGGGTTAGGTATTATAATTTGGTTAGTTAGTTAAGTTAGTTAGGTATAGATGGCAGCACCACGTATGCAGACATTCAATGATGTTACATATGCAGACAAAAATATGTAACATCATTGAATTTCTTTATTTTATTGAAATTTTAAGGTTATTTTTGGCATAATGCAAAGTAAAAAAAAAAGGGGGGGCAGAAAGAGCGAGAAAAGAAAGGAAACTTGCTGAAAAATGTAAAGTAAGTGTTTAGTGTCTGAGGCAAACTCGGGGGGGGGGTTAGGCATTATAATTTGGTTAGTTAGTTAAGTTAGTTAGGTATAGATGGCAGCACCACGTTTTTCTGAAACTTGTAGCTTGATCTTTGCGTCATAGCGCCATCTAGCGCTTAATTAAACAAATAATTTTTATTGTAAATAATAAAAGTTGTTTTCAATAATGTATGTACGGTATAATTACGGAAGGAGAGAACACTCTTTCGAGTTTTTTTTTACTGTCAATATCACATTTTATTAAAAAGTATGTTAAGAAAATGTATCATAACATATTTAACCGACAACTTTTGTGTGAACATTTATTTTTAAAGCTAATAAAGACGAAAAAAAGGGCAAACATGTCCTCATTATGGCTGAAAAGATTTCATTTGTTTATTTTTGTAAAATGTTTTGTGTAAAAGCGATTTTATATAAATTCTGTGATTTAAGAATTTTTATTTCGAACTGTAATTTAAAAAAATTCTAATTCTAAAAAAATCCAGTTATATATTCGGTTTCTTTTAAAATATATATGTATAGTTAGTATATTTTTTTTAAATACATTTCTGATTTTGATGATACTTCATTACTTCTAGCAAACACGATACATTTTAGACTAAGAAGGTAGAATATGCTGTTAACTTGGCGTGTAAGCTTCGAAATGAAATCCTTTTTTACTATTTACAATTTCTCAGTTTTTTTTTTTTTTTTTTTTTTTTTTTTTTTTAAAGCTCAAATGGCCAGAGGGGCTATTAGTCTCGAAACGGCATTTGTGTTGAATCACTATAAACGGCTGTATCACTTTTCAAATTGTTGCCACCAAATATTATTAGCCTGTATTATATTTAAAGAAACTGAAATAATGACGAATCGACATGAATGCATGTTTGCTTCCCCCATTGTGAAAAAACAGCGTCGCCTAGAGTAATCAAATTTTTAAACATAGTCCTCCACCCGAAAATGGGCACCTGGAAGCCCGAATTTGTCATTTCGAATTTATTTTATTTCTGTTTCATATCTTGTAAAACTTAATGAATTTTTAATTAAAAAACTCAGTAATTTGAAAGCGAACAATGGAATAAAACTGTAGGACAAGGATGTCAAACTCGCGGCCCGCAACAAATTTTTTTGCGGCCCAGCCAATATATCGGCAAATAATAATATATAATAATAAAATAACATATCGACGAAGAAAAAAATGAAATGTTTACTGCTAAGTAATTAACAATAATTTATTCAGTGTTGTTAGATTACTCACAGCGAGCTGACACACACACTACTTAAATTACAAATGCGTGTGAGTAGCTTGCGTTCAGCTACCTTCGGCTTTTGGGTAACACGTGCACTCAGAACTTGTACGCATCCCCCGATAGCCGAATGTGGCCGAACTCATGGTCTCAGTTTTCCAATCATAGTTTTGTACGATATATTGGTGCATGCATTTGCATGCACTTTGCTTTATTATTAATTATTACTTAATTCATATTGTTACGGATTTCATAGTTATTTATTTTAATTAGTTTTTTTTTATTATTATTATTTTTTTTTTTTTTATTTAGAATTGTAATTAGATTTGCTTCATGTTGCCTTAGCAACGCAGACGATTTTTGAAAAGACAGCTGCGTTGGAAGGTTAAAAATAGAACAGCGCGTGCATTTAATACCTAATAAATAAATATCTCGTAATTGCTGTTGCCATCCACAAAAATCGAGATATTTTTAGATGTTTCCAGTATATTCGAGAAATTAATTATAAAGCTTATAAATGCCGAGAACAAACAACTCATCTCAGTAGTAGCTGTAGTTCTAGCGAACTGTTTGTTTACTTAATGCTGTGATTGATTTGTAGCGCTTTCGCTGTGAGATAGAATTAGTTTCTCTGTTTTGAATTGATTTTTGCTAAACGTTTGACATTTTGTGATATTGTTAGAATATTTTGAAGAAGAAATATTTCAGCATTTTGATTTATCTGTTGTGGAAAGAATAATTTTTGTTAACTTTTTACGTTAACCGTGTTTATTCCAGCCCTTTGTATTCAGTATGTCTATATCAAAACCAAGTGGTAGTAAAATTAAACGAAAAATCGCTGACGAACATAGAATATTCCAAGCAAAATGAGAATTAGAATATTTTTGCTGTGAAATAAAAGATAAAATAATCTGCTTGATATGTAATAATACTATTAATGTACTAAAGTTATATAATATTAAACGTCATTACGAACAACACAATCGAAATACAACAATTACGAAGGATTAATGAGAGAAGAAAAGTTGAAAGAGCTCAAGTTAGGAGGTGAAAAAGCAACAGTCCATGTTTAGTAAAGTATT